TGTTCAGCCAGGAGCTCTCGGGTGCCCTCCATGAGGCCCAGGGAGATAGACAGCCTTAGGGGTGGGTGACGTAGATGAGGGCGATTGAGAGGCACAAACTTCCATTTGTGAAATGAAGAAGTCACGGATGTGGGAAGTACAGCACGGGGGATAGAGGCAACGGCACTGTCACCATGCTGCTCGATGACATGTGGCGACCCACTTCCTACAGGAGCCCTGTGGGAACGTGCGGAGTGGTTGAGCCACCGTGTTGTGCGCCTGAAGCGGATACAGCACCGTATGGTGATTCTCCTGCGATTTAAAAAGTTAAAACAGTAGTCTATGAACAAAAGAACAAATCCAAAGTGACCATTACCAAAGAAAATCTGAGTTCACCAAATAAATCTGACAGAGGTCCAGGGAGGTGGCTGCTAAACTCGGGGACAAGCCCTTGCCGTGAGTGAGTGCGTGGCGGAGCCCACTCTGGCTCGTGGTGTGTGGGCTCCCGCCAGGAGGCACCCTGACACCTGTTAGCACCGTCTGCTCCAGAGAAACAAGAAGTCAGTTGCTGTTAGCTGTGGCATTTTTTCCGGTTTCTGGCCCTAGGACGTGTCCAGCCCCACCAGTCTGGCCGGCCCTCAGGTGCTCACTCGCGACTCTGCAGGGTGCCCGAGCCCTGCCAGCTGACTGGCCGTGTCCACTGCCCACCTCCCAGCTGCCAACTTCTCAGCCATTCGTTTCCTTCTTCTGGGAAGGGCGTCAGTGTATCTCGCTAGAGGCCTCTCTCTGTCTTCGCACTCTGACTCAGCAGCCACTGTGCTCACGTGTCTGTTTATCAACCCGCCTGTGCAGGGGAAGGATCCAGATAAGTAGCAGCCCCGGAGTGACATGGCTGGCACCTTGCATGCCTGCCCAGAGATGGTCCACTGCCACCCCTGGGCCGGGCCATCTCTTGTCTCGCCAGGATTCCAGAGCGGGCCTCTCCGAGGCCTGTCCTCCCAACATCCAGGATTATATCGCGTTACTCCTGTTTTCACAACCGTCTAGTGGCTTCTCACCTCACTCAGCACGAAATCCACTTCCTCCCTCCGCCAGTGGCCCTCATGCCCTCTGACCTCTCTCCACTCTGTCTCTGATCACTGGGCTCCAGCCACCCTGTGTCCTTCCTGCTTCCAAACCTGCACCTGTCTGTGGGTTCTGCCACCACTGGGCCTGTCCAGCGTACCTTCCCGGGGTGGCCAGGTCAGGCGACCCCCCGCCGGGCCATCCACCCCTCCTGCACCAAGACTCTCCTAGCGCCCCCTCATCCAGCCCTCCCAGTGGACCGAAAGCTCCCGGGGGCCGGGGTGTGTGGTTGGTTTGCATTGAGGTCTCGCCAATGCCTAGCACAGGGCCCAGTGCACTGCAGGTGCTCCCGTCCAGCAGGCGATTGCGGGACCCCCGATGGAAGTGCTCAGGAGGCAGTGGGTCCGAGAGCTCTGGCAGCATGAGACCCTCTGTGGGGGTGGCATGGTGTTCTGTGGGACCCAGTCTGGGAGATGCTGCAAGATGACCTGCTTCATAAGGACGTTCTGCTCTTCCTCTTCCAGTGCACAGTTATCGGCCTCCCTGCATGCTTTCATTTGGACCATCTGTGCTCCTCTGTCTTCTGAGACTGGGCCTGCGGCCCTCCCTCTCCCTGTGGTCTCCCCTGGGCTGTCCCGGGGCAGGCCTCCAGCTGCTGGGGAGGGCCGTTACCCGTTTCAGAGGCCTCTGTGCCGCCGCCTCTGTCGGAGTGAGGTTCATGTCGTTCACGTGTGTGGGGTGTGGAGAGCAGGCAGGGTGGTAACTGGGTGCACAGCCAGGCTCGTGTTCAGGTTCCAGATCTGTGCTCAGAGTGAAAACCCAGCAAACTATACACTTAGGATTTGTGTGCTTTTTTGGATGCATGTGAACCTTCGATAAAAAGTGAGTGGGGTAAGCAGAAATGCCCAGACGCCTTGGATTCTGGTACACCTAGCAGCCCTCAGAGCTGGAGCAGGGCCAGGTGCTCTGTGGCTTTGTGTGTGGTTCCACGGAATCCAGCCCCAGGCCCACAGCCCTGCGGGCCCAATCCTGGCTGCCCAGCGGACAGGGGAGATGGCAGGGGGCTCCCTCGGAGCTCACCTATGCATCTGCAGCCTGGTGCTGGGGAGTGACTCGGGGCTTTATATGCTACTCTGGTTTTATATTGGTGACTGTTGTCCGGGGTGGTGCCAAGCCTCAGCGACGTCTCAGAGGCCTGGTCCTCCACAGGGACTGGTTTGGTAGCACGGTCACGAAAAGCTTGTAGAACCAATCGTACAACCCCTCCCCCCATACGCATGCTCCCCACTGAGCCTCCCATGCTGGCCCCTCATCCCCCAGCTGCTGTGTCTCCCTCAGGCTACCTCCTCTCTGGATCTCCACTGTCACAGGTCTGTCCCCCCATCACAGCGCTCCTTTTATTTCTTGATGGCACCTGTCCTCCCCTGAAACCAGCCTTCAAAAACCTTATGATTCTTGCCTGACCGATCCCATCCCCCGCACAGGCAGCCCAGTCTGCCCAACTCTCCCAGGCTCCCCGGGCCTCGTGTCTGCAGGCCTGATGCGCTGAGCCAGGGTACCCTCGCCTGTGGCCGTAGGACTCCGGACGGATGCCAGTTCTCTCTCAGAACACCACAGATGGACAGATGGCCCCTGCTGCGAGGCTGGGAGCGTGTGGCCGCTCGTGTGCCCATGAGCTCCATATAAGGGAGAAATTTGGAGCAGCCAGAGGCAGGCCCAGGTCGGGAGGGGAGGTGGGAAGCTCCCGGTGTCTGGAAGCACGCCGGCAGCAGCTTCAGGTTTCCCCCGCTCGGAAAGCACAGGAGCTATTTTGAGGGCCATGCAGCAGGCAAGGCAGATGCCGGGCACCCAGTGGTGGGTGACAACGCAGTGCGAGGAACCTCACACCCTCCGGACAGTGGCTACTGTACTCTGTGTGCCCTGGTCGCCCATCAGCTGAGCCTCTGGGCACCTGCTGGCCCCCCTGCTCAGAGGCTGGCTCATCCGTTCGTGAATCAAGCAGGTGGGAAGCCCCTGCCCCGAGTGGCCGGTAGTGAGACCCGGAGCCCCTGGCCCCCTTGATGGGGCGGAGGGAGCACGGAGAGCCCCTCTGCCCACGTGCCTTGAGGGGGTCTGGTGGCTGGCCTGGAAGTTGTGTGATGTCGGCGTGACAACAGGAAGCCCCTCATGCGGATGTGTCTTGAGCGTGAGGCATGGAGAGGGACCGCGTCCACCACAGCCCGGGGGAAGAAGCGCAGAGCCGCGCGTCAGCGCTGAGTGCCCGCCGGGGACTGCTTTGGGTCCAGTTGAGGCAGCCCAGGAAGGCAGGGCCTACCAAGAGGTCCGGGAAAATGCACAGCGTCAGTCGGTAGTGGGAGGACAGCCAGACCCCTGGGCTCGGTGCTCACCAGCACTGCCGGTGACAGGGCTGGGACTGTACAGATGGCTCTATCCTCACAGGCAGGGACGTGTCCAGCTAAGGGGTGCGCAGCCCTGGATGAACCAGAACAGGTCAGTAGGTGGCAAACAGGACACTGAAGGGGCTTCCACTTGTCCTATGAAAAGCGGACAAGGGACCAGGAGATATGGAACATGGGAACGTGGACCCAGGCTGACCGGGGAGTAGGGCAGGGCAGCTGGCATTGTGCGCACTCGGGGACAGGAAGCCAACCCAGCAGGGGATGTCACTGCCCAAGGGGACATGCTGGAGGGCAGCTCAAGCCAAGAGGTGTCCTCCTGTTGGGTGGCAGGACCCAGGCCAGGTGGGTGGCTCCAGATGGGCCCTTTATAAGCATGGTGCCTAAAGAAGAGACAGTGGGAATTAAATGATGCCCTTGTTCTTAGCTGACATTGGTCATGAGGCCACCAAGGGCCAGGCCTGTACCTGGTGGGCAGAGTCACTGGCCTTCTGGCCTGCCAGTCCCCACTTCCTGCTGTGCACACAGAGGCTCTCTCGTGGTCAGCCTTGCCCTCATCCTGTCCCACCTGAATGATAAGCAGAGTGGAAACTAGGGCTCAGAGTGCGTGGGGAGGCCCGCTGCGACACCAACCTCGCCCCTCCCCAGGCCACCCCACCCCGCTGATGGAGTTCCCCGGGGCAGACAGAAACCTCCTTCCCTGCACCTCTGTTGCATTCCCACAACAGCAATAGCATATCTTGGTGGATTTTATTTGTATAGTTTTTTTAAACATTTACTTACTTATTTTAGAGAGAGAGGGAGAAAGGGAGCTCACAGGGAGTAGGGGAAGCAGAGGGAGAGGCAGTCCTAAGCAGACTGCACTGACTACAGAGCCTGATGCAGGGCTCGATCTCACAACCCTGAGGTTATCACCTGACCCAGAATCAAGAGGTGTTTAAGCAACTGCACCACCCAGGCACCCCATTTCTATACTTTTTTAAATTAAACTTTTTATCTTGAAAAAACTTCAGGCCCACAGAAACCCTGCAGGTATATTTCAACAAAGTCCCATAGACCCTTCGTCCAGATTCAGCCACTGGTAATGCTCTGCTGTGTTTGCTTTCTCTCCGCATGGAGCTGTGAGCCTGGGGCCGTGTGCTACGCGTGCGGGGACCTCTGAGGCCCGGGTTTCCCCAGAGCCCGCCTTCCCTCGTGCTGCCTCACCTGCCATCAGGCAGAGGCATGAACAGTGGCCACACCAGCCTCTTCTGTTGCTGCCCATGGCCACCACCTGCCCGTCCCAGTACAGGACCCCGTGTGCACCTCTGGCACCCTCCTGCCCTCTGGCCCGTCCCTGCCTCCCTGTCCCTCAGGACACGCTGCTGCTGACACGCTGGGCGGTCCCTCCATCTGGTTCGCCTGGCGCAGCAGGGATGGCGTCTGTCCATGTGAGGTCCTTTCTGCCTCCTGCTGCACCTCCTGCACTGTGTCGGGCTCCAAACCCTCTGTCCCTGCTCTCTTCAAAAACGACATGCCCTGCCACCTCCTTCCTTAAGGAAAGTCTCTTCCTGCTCGCAGCCCGCAGGGGTCACGTTGGTCAGCGTCCACTGTAGTCCGAATGACCAGATGCTGTGGGCGCTTGACAGCAGGTGGAACGTGCACGTCCGGGCCGGCATCACCGAAGAGATGCCCGTGGGGACCGACTGGGAGCACGTGCCAGGTGGGAACACAAGCTGCCCCCTCCCGCGGGCATCTGCTCAGTCCAGCGGCCCGGCCTCCACACGGCAGGCCCGGCCTTTGCACTCGGGGTTTCATTTCCTTTCTGCTGTCCCACTGAGGCAGGGGACAGCAAGGATCTAATCAAACACCCTTTGTTGGAGGGAGTAGCCTCGTTCCCTTGGAGTTTTGTGTGGGCTGATTGCTTCCAGACCTCCTGGGTCCTGGTGTGCCCTGGCCTTGGGCTCTTGGTGGCTTTGCTAGCTCTGCCTGGTGGGGCATCCTTTCCCTCGGCCACCGCTCGGAGCCCTATAGTGCAGGGCACTGTCCGCACAGAGCCCCCTGGTCAACAGGACCCAGTTGGGGGAGGGAGCAAACTCATGGGAGAGGGCGGTCTGGCCTGTCCCAGCTGGGGGGCTCAGGACAGACGGACACCTTATTGGCATGCAGGGCTGCAGGCCTGCCAGCTGGCACTAAGCACCAGGACTGTGTGGGCCCGCTGCCCCAACGGTGACCTTGCCCGACGGTACGGCATCACTGACAAGAACCCCGCGGGAGACTACTGGAAGAAAATTCCTGGCAACGTGACGTGTTTCACAGGCAAGTGCCGGGCTCCATGGGATTGGGGCTCCCGTGGACAAGGTTAGTGGGGGCTCCACAAGAGGCTGCTCCCACAGGGCTTGCTCTCCCAAGAGCCGAGGGTCACACCTGAGGGAGGGCACCCAGCACCCTGCTGGCCAGAGCTGGCCAGAACTGGGCCACCCACTTTAGAGTTGAGGCAACTGAGGCACAGATTGGGGGTGGCGTGTCTGGGGCCGCCAGCTAGAAAGTGCCATGGCAGGACGGGGAGCTGGCCGACTGCACCTGTGCCCGCCGCCCCAGTGGGTGACTCACGAGCGTGCGGCTGCCTCTCGTCCCTGCAGTGACCTCGTCAGATGAGCTGTGGGCCGTGGGCCCCCCCGGCTACCTCCTCCAGCGGCTGACGAGGACTTTCAGCCACTCACATGGTGCCGCGAGCAGCCATGCCACCACCCCCCACCCCGAGGACCTGGAAGACGAGTGGGAGGTCATCTGACGGAGCCTTGGACCAGGCGCTCAGGAGGGAGCAGGCCGAGAGAGGGGGGTGGACACGGTGGTTTCGGAGTCGCGGGCTCTTGGTCACACCTTGTCGGCTCCTGTCCAGACATGTCGGGCCGGCTTGGACCGCCCACACTTGCTTTCATCCATGTTTGTTTCCGTCTTGTTCCAGAACCCACAGCCTCAGCCAAGTGATCTGGAGCCCTTGCTGGCGCGGCCGTGCCTCTGAGCTCCTGCAGAGGCCGCCTCCGAGCGCGGCAGCACCGGCCTCCTCCCGGCCTTGCCAGGCCCGCCGCAGGCATGAGCTAGGGAGCCGGAGGTCAGCGTGCTCCCACCGCTGAGGGGGTCCCGCTCAGCTTCACGGTCACCACAGGGACGTGAGTTCTAGCACATTCCATGCTGGACACCCCGGCTGGGAAACCCAGCCTACGTCAGAGAGGTGGGGCGCTGGTCTGTGCCAGCACACAGCGCGCGCGTGCGCACACACACACACACACACACACCCCCAACCCGTGCCCTCCCAGCCCACTCACAGGGCACGGCATGCTCGCTTCCTGGAGAACACACTTTAGCCAAAACAATACAGGCCGGTGGAGGACACGGACTAGAAAAGGTGCACGTGTTTCCAAGGCAGCCGTGGCCCCGGGAGGCGCAGTGGGCCGTGGGGGAGCTCAGCCCTGGGAGCTCACTGAGCGCGCTCGTCGCAGTGCTGTGCAGTGCTGCTGGCGGCCGTTGTGGAGCCCAGAAGCGTCCTCACAGGATGTGTCTACTAATTATTGCCTTTTTTGTTTGTTGTATTACAAACCTGCATAAGATACCTCATTCGAAATCAGCTCTTATAAATTTAGAGGAGAAATGTATTCCCTGAAACCAGCGGAAGGCCTTTCGTTCCTCCGCGAGGTTTGCCCTGGGCCTGCCTGGTCCTCCGCCGCAGCTTCCCCGAGCTCGGGTACCCCCTCTGGGGCCGTCGTGGGACCTTCCGGCTGGCTCGAGCTCACGTGGATGCCTCCTGGGAGTTCCCGACGGGGCCTGCAGTGGCCTCGCCAGACCTCAGTCTTTGGGGTCCTCACAGGCATCTGGGCCAGGGGCTCGGCAGCCCCACCACGGGTCCACCCCGGGGTCAGCGCCTCCCAATCCCGCAGGCGGCTCCCAAGCAGGACTCCAGCCTCGCCGCTTTTTTTAGTCTGCCTTTGGCCCAGGGCCCAGTTACTCGACGCCTGTTTTCTCCTAAGCCAGTGTCCGGGAGCCCCCAGGCCACAGCTGAAGAGCGGTCAGATGTGTCCTCTGACGGGACCCGGCCAGCTGCAAAGATGGGGGCGTTCCTGGTCTAAACGAGGACAAGAGTCTGAAATCCCAGATCCTACTTCACACTCCACTTTTGTAGAATCCTTGTTTTCAGAGTTCGGTGACGGCAGAGGCCAGCCCAGGCTGGCTGCGGCCTCTCTCTGTGTATGTTGTGCCTTGCCCGGCCCCCCTCAACGGCAGAGTTCCCTAAACCCACGGGACTTTAGTGCAATTAAACCTCAGTCTAGTTGGATACTTTTAAACTACTTTTAGCTTCAGTGCTTTGTATGGTTTTTCCTTCTGGTTTTAATTTTTAGTTGTGCTTTGAGACAGTGCAATAAACTAGACTTTTTCCAAACCTGGTCGAGTCTGGTGTTTGGGCTGTGAGAAAGGGCCCCCAGCAGGCACTCACGAGGCTGGCCTGCCCACCTGTGCTGGAAGACTCTGCCAATGGCGTCGGCCAGCCCAGACCCACAGCCAGGAAAGCGTGGCGGATGTGATGTTTAAATATGCACCAGCGTCCCCAGGGTGGCCATCCAGAGGTAGATGCGCCCCCGGTCGCCCGTGGGAAGGACGCCGTCAGGGGAGGCGGAGCACAGAGCTGTCTCTGCTTGGAGGCCCGGCGAGGCCAGGCTGCCATGGGCAGGCTTCGGAAGGGTTCGAGCCCCTGGGCCTAAGACTCCATCCAAGAAACAAACCCAAGTGTCGGCCGCGCCCTGCTGGAAACCAGCATGTGGGAGAGGATCCCATTCATAGCAGCAGGACACGTTGTATGCCACGGAAGACCTGAATGAGGTGTGTCCCGCTCCTGTCAGGAAATGTCACACTCCACAGAAGACGGCGGAGAAAGTTTGAATTCAGAAGACATGTCCGATGTCCCTGATGAAAAACAAAGGAAACCGTAGACATCCATCCTTCCCAAAGCGTTTAACTGTTTGTCAGAACGCTTGGTGGAATGGGGCGCCTGGGTGGCTCCGTGGGTTAAGCCTCTGCCTTTGGCTCAGGTCATGATCTCAGGGTCCTGGGATCGAGCCCCGCATGGGGCTCTCTGCTCAGCGGGGAGCCTGCTTCCCCCTCTCTCTGCCTGCCTCAATGCCTACTTGTGATCTCTCTCTCTCTGTGTCAAATAAATAAATAAAATATTTAAAAGAAAAAAAGAAACACTGACGGCCTGCAGCGTCCCTCCCACGCTTCTCACCCCTGTCGACGCAGGCATCCTGGGCCTGCAGCTCTCGCTTCTACTGCACACATGTGCTCTGACACAGACAGGTACAAATGCCAATGACTTCCCTTGTCACCCTCAGTCTCAGGCTACGGAGGGGGCCACGATAAAGAATATCACGTGCTGGGGGCCTGGGCGGCTCAGTGGGTTAAGCCTCTGCCTTCGACTCAGGTCATGATCTCAGGATCCTGGGATCGAGCCCCGCATCGGGCTCTCTGCTCAGCAGGGAGCCTGCTTCCCCTCTCTCTGCCTGCCTCTCTGCCTGCTTGTGATCTCTCTCTTCTGTCAAATAAATAAAGTCTTAAAAAAAAAAAAAAAAAACTCTCAGTGGCTGGGGGCCGGGTGGCTCAGTCGGTGAGGTGTCTGCCTTCAGCTCGGATTGTGATCTCAGGGTCCTGGGGTGGAGCTCTGCGTCGGGCTGTCTGCTCTGTGGGGAGTCTGCTTCTCTGTCCCCCTACTCTTAAGCTCTCCCTTGCTCTTGTCTCTTTTTCTCCCTCCCTCTCAAATAAATAAATCTGAAAGAAAGAAAAGAACCCTCTCTGGGATGTTATGTCAGGGGAGGCAGGGAAGAAGTCCCAGAATAATGTTCGTGCCCACAAGTGCCCCGGATGCCAGACGTGTGCCTAGGGCTTCTGCACAGCTCCGTGTACCCCTAGAGGCCCCTGAGGGAAATCTTGTCAGCCTTGGTGACAGGGAGGCTCAGTAACTTGCTGGAGGTCACACAGGGGCCACTGGGAGCGGAGCCCAGCTCTGTGGAACTCCAGACCTGGGAAGACCCAGGTGGGAATTACCAAGAGTGCTGACAGCAAGGGCGAAGTAAGCGTGGGAGGGAGGGCGTACTGGGGACAGCAGGCGGCCCGACCGGCCTGGCGGGGAACTAGCGTGATGAAGGCACATCTAGGGGAGGGAACAGGCAGGGGAGGTCACAATTGATGTGCCCCACCCCTTCATTATGTGGACAAAATATTAAATGGATTAAAGAATCTTTAAATCAGGGGCGCCTGGATGGCTCAACCAGTGAAGCCTCCGACTCTTGATCTCAGCTCAGATCTTGATCTCAGGGTTGAGTTCAAGCCCCACATTGGGGCTCCATGCTGGGTGTGGAACCCACTTTAAAACTAGTGGGAGTAGGGGCGCCTGGGTGGCTCAGTGGGTTAAAGCCTCTGCCTTCAGCTCAGGTCGTGATCCCAGGGTCCTGGGATCGAGCCCCGCATCGGGCTCTCTGCTCCACGGGGAGCCTGCTTCCTCCTCTCTCTCTCTCTCTGCCTGCCTCTCTGCCTACTTGTGATCTCTGTCTGTCAAATAAATAAATAAAATCTTAAAAAAAAAACAAAAAACTAGGGGTAGTAGTATCTGATTTCTGGAGGACAAGGGCTTTCCCACAGAGGAAATTAAGTATTTAGATTTGATTTCCTCAAAATAGTCCAATACTATAAATTTAAAACCCCACTTCAAGGGGGAAGTTGCGACATCACCTATGGTGAATATATACCTTAAAAACATGTCCACACCAGTCAGAGGAACACCTAAGGCCCTTGTATGGACACAGATGAAAGGGTGTTCTCAGCAAACGCCTGGCACACAGGCAGGGTGCGGACGGAGCAAGGGGAGCGGACTTAAAACCTGCAAACCCACCAAGTCCACCTCTGGGACCCTTTCCTCAAGAACAGATCCTAAGTCGGGGACAGACGTATGACACAGGCTGTCCTGTGACCCCTAGGAGTGGCCTGACAAGGTCGGGTGCTGCCGTCACAGGGCAGGTGTCCTGGGGGAAACAGGCCACGACGTGGCTGCATCCATGCTGTTGGCTGTGCGTAGGGATGTGGCTGGGCCAAAGACCGTGCAGAGGGTGAGAGAGAGAGAGAGAGATTGAGACCCGTTTAACTGATGGTGGGTTCGCTACACAGCTGGTCACAGTGGCTGCCTGTGGTCTAGACATTTTTGTATCTTTTGAATTTCAAGCCATATAAATGTATTATTTATTTCAAAAGAAATAAAATTCACATTTTAGAAACAGTCCTAACATTGACTCCTTATGCCGTCAACACTAGTGAGTCAAATGTCACAAAGCAAACACCAAAGACCTCTGAGAAATCCCACTTACGAAGCATTTTACAATACAGGAAAATGCTTATAGTAAGTTTGAAGTTGGCCCCTTTATTTGGCGGCCACGTGGGGGGAGGGGAGAGCAGGACGCCCCTGTCCTGGAAGCCCAGCCACGCCCTGCCCTGGTTTCTCCCTGCGGGTCCAGTGTTCCACCTGGAGCGTGAATTCTAGAAGCAGAAATTCGTTTTACAAATCACTGAAGACAGAAATCTCTGTCTTGACTGGGGTGGTTACATGTGTGTAGACATTTGTCAGAACTCCTCATGACACATGTAAGGTCTGTGATTCTCGGGGCACCCAGCTGGCTCGGTGGGGACAGCATGTGGTTCTTGATCTTAGGGTCTTGAGTTCAAGCCCCATGCTAGATGTAAAGCCTATTTAAAAAAGTTTTAAAAAGGCCTCTTCCCATCTTTTATTCTATATATTCCATCTATATATTCTAAAATATATAAAATGTGCCTCTATTATAGGTCAATCATGCCTCCATTTAAAAATGCAGCCGGACTGAACCACAGGGGAGCCATGGCAGCAGCCTCTCGCTTCTGGAACAGGGGCAGACCCTGCACAGCTTCCCCTGACCGTGCTGGCTTCCTTCCTTCCCGGTGCCCAGGAAGCATCCTTGTTCTGAACAGGACGGGCCGTCATTTAGGAAATTGCTCTCAGCCCAGTAGTTGAAGCTGGTGAAACAGAAGGGAAATCAGAGTAATTTGCATCGAGGTGATACCAAGGCTGAAGTCCGAGTGCGGCCCTCACTCCCCTGCCCTCACAGCCACCTCCCCCAGGCCACCCTGATAGCATGGGCCATCCCGTGATGTCCCTTCCAGGTTCCCTGCCCGAGATCACGACCCCTCTGTGGAG